TTCATTGTAAATTGATTATTAAATTGTTTGATTAGGGTTTATACATAATTTCCGTGACAGAGTGCAAGATAGATCCTTTAATCTTACTGCTGGAGCTGCTAGTTTGCTAGTTTCAAATGATGAATAAACAGCAAGCACAAACTATGCAAAAGCGGCATTCCTTCCGGTGCACTCAGTGTCCGAATTCACTACTCGTTTTCATTCATATTTTTATTTATTTATTATTCTTAGTCTCTTCTTCTTCTTCTTCTTCTGGTGTTTCATGGCGGTTTGGCAAACCAGCGAAAAAGGTGCATTACCGCCACCTACTGATCTGGAGTGTGCCTAAATTTGGAAGAAAGAAATACAGGGGGAAAAATAAAAACACCTAGATTCTATCTATTGCTCCTGTGTTTTTCAGGTATTTAAACATATTTTCTTGCTCTCTTGATTGCCTCGACCCATTTCCAAACAATACTTTTAAAGAAATATTATCAACTCCCAGCCATCCTAATTCTTGAATTAATTGAAATCTCTCCATTTCATATGCAGAGCACTCAAAAAGAATATGTTTCACTGTTTCTAATTCTCCACATTTGTCACACTTTCCCGATTCATGCTTACCTATTTTATAAAGACTATAGTTTAATGCTGTATGTCCAATTCTTAGTCTTGGTAAGATGACATCTTTCTTCCTATTTCCGTATCTTTTCCTCTCGTTTCCAACACACTCCTGAATCTGGAAAAGATGTCTTCCTTTAGACCCATTATCCCATAACTTTTGCCATTTCTTACTTACTTCAAATGATATCACTCTCTTGAATTCAGCTTTACTTAAAGCTAACTTAATTTCTATTTGTGGATGATTTAATGCTTTCTTTGCTAGCAAGTCTACTTCCTCATTTCCATCCACACCCACATGTGCAGACACCCAGAGGAATTGTACCTCTATCCTTAACTGCCTTATTCTAAACAAGCTGGTCTCTTCAAAGAACAGGTTGAAAAATCAAGCCTACGATTCATGCTCCAAAAGTTTCAGGTTCCAAAACCTTAGTAAAGTTATGTGTTCACATATTTTGTTTTTCATTTTTGTTTGTTTTTTCGATTATGTGTCATTAATAAAGGTGTCATTTCAGGTTTCCTAGGTCAGTTTGTTAATTCTGCTCAATAACTACACTCTTAAAAATAAAGGTGCTTCACGATGCCATAGAATAACCTTTTTTGTCTAAATGGTTCCATAAAGAACCTTTAACATCTGAAGAACCTTTCTGTTTCACAAATGGTTCTTTGTGGTGAAAAAAGGTTCATCAGATTACAAAAAGGTAAGAAAGAGATGGTTCTTTAAAGAACCAGACGAGTCTGCTTACAAACAGGAGGTCGAGCAGCTGGCTGTCTGGTGCAGTCTCAACAACCTGGCGCTCAACACGCTAAAAACTGTGGAGATGACCGTGGACTTCAGGAGAAACCCCTCTGCACTCCCCCCACTCACCATCATGGACAGCACTGTGACTGCAGTGGAGTCATTCAGGTTCCTGGGCATGGAAACTGAAATGAGGTAATAACTGTGCATATTGTGCAATGTTTGCATAGAATGTATGGTTTTCCATGCTGCTGCTTCTTCTTCTTCGTCCCCACCTTATTTTCTGATCCCTTGACCATAGCTGAATATCAACATTTGTAATATTTAGTCAGTCAAAACAGTTTAAGGTTAATTGCTCTAATTTTGTGTCTCTGGAAATCAGTGATCTGTGACACTGTATTATGTTGAATATTAAATTTTTTGTGTCTATTTGGTAATGAGGGATTTGTGAGCATATTATTGTTTTAAGATTTGAGGAGTAAAACATATTGTTTTTATTTTTAAAGTAAAAAGATTTTTTATTTTTATATTCAATAATTCCATGAGTTAGATGCACATGTCAGACCTTTTTAGACATCGTTAAAACCTTATAGACACATTTCAGACATTATTGAAACCTGTAGACTAATTGAGGGAAATCCTTGGGTTTGAATTCACACTGTTGCTATTATGATATTAACAGTTAAACGTAGACATTAATATGGGTATATAAAATAAATGTACTGTTCAGATTAATCTTTTTTAGATTAATTATTCACTTATTTGACTATACTGTCATAAAAATTTAAATAGAACAGATAACTAAACTATTACAAATCCTTTTATTTAACTGAATTAAAGGTGAAATAAAATACATTTTAAACATTAGATTAAACGTAAATGAAAATTAGAAATCCTGCCTTTGTTACTTACTGAAATAATAATACATACTTTAAACTAAAGCTGAAAATAAATTAAAATATAATATTGTAGTACCTTATAAATTACAAAAAAAAAACTAATAAAAATGACAAAAGCACATAACAATTACTTTAAAACGGCTTAAACAAATTGTGACAATATTTTCAAGATATTTAAGCACATTTGTCCCTAAATTTTATTATCAGAATGTGTTTGTGCATTTAACTTTGTCGTTTTTTGTAAGCCTCATTATCCTGAAAGGTGATTCTCATGAAAAACTCATTTTAATTATATTACTTAAATGAGCATACTGTACATTGAAGACGATGCATCAAATACTGTCATGATGCATAAACACTTAACGATTTATTTATTTATTTATTCCACCACAGTTATGATAAATGGAAGGAATATGTGCTTCATTGCGTCCTTGTGAAAATAATGAATAAATGCCAGTGTGACTTTGTGTTGAATATGAAATAGTATTAGGATAATGACCTGGAAATGTCCAGAAAAAAAACACACAAAAAAACAAGTAAAAGCAAGTTTTATGATTTTTATGACAATTCCTGATTTAAGATGAGAGATTCTAAAGGTCATTTGCTTTTCAAAAACAAGCTTCTAGGATATAAATGGGTGGAGGAATATAAAGCCTCTTTCTTTCTTTCTTTCTTTCTCCAAAAAGCTTGTTGTTATCAGTAGGGTCAGACAGCCTTTAAAATAGAACAGTGATCACATGACTGCACTTTATATTGGCCTTTAAAATAATGCTGGCCTTTCGATAAAGTGTAAAGTTCTGATCAGTGGTCAATATGGATTTTTCTTAATTCTTAAAATATAGTCACCCTCGAGTCTCTCCCCCACAGTCTCTCTTTTGACTGTTACACACAGAGAGAAACACAAGCATTAGGTTTAAGTATGGAGGAATAACAGGCAAGCATCTTGAGTAAGACAACAGCACTTTCCTCTCAACAGTCTTCAAACATGATTTTGTTTTTAGGCAGCTAACAGGGATGCCCAAATGTACTGGTTGCAGCAGCTGCAGTTGAAACGTACGTTATACAGGGAGCAGCATGCTGAACATCTCTCCATACCCAGACCAGACAACCACAAATTGGAAAGCACCCCATCAGCAAACAACTGCCGTGGTAAGAGGCTGAAAGTCATTTACTGCATTATGGAAATTACACTGTTTATGAAATGTAATCTGAGGGAGAATGCACTTCATTTTTCAAAGTAAAGTTCAGTTGTTTGGCCAGTCATGTGATACTAAGTTAATAGAAAGTGAAAGATCAACAGACCCAGTCAGTTCTTGAGGATTATTTCAAAATGCTTGAAATCTGTGCACCAAAATAAAGTTTCTATTGCCAGAGGAATTACTTCACCTTTAAACTATTAAGATAAAACTTAAATAAAAAAAATTAGAAATGTTGCCTTGTTACAATTATTAAAAATAAATACAAATTAAAAACGAATAAACAGGTCAAAAGCACTTAACAATTACTAAAACGTAAACTAAAATTGAAATGAAATCTGAATTTTTTTTTTTTAAATTTTGCGTTGTGATATTTTCAGACAATTAAGCATATTTGTATCTACATTTTTATTATCAGAAAGAGTCTGTGCATTTAACTTTGTAGTTTTTTGTAAATCTCATCATCCTCAAAGGTGATTCTCATGAAAAACTACTGTACTACACTCTAAAAAGTGCTGGGTAAAATATCGACAAACCCAGCAATTGGGTTGTTTTGACCCAGTGGTTGGGTTACTACCCAGAAGGTTGGGTTAAACATTTAATCAAACCGCTGGGTCAAAACAGCCCAATTGCTGGGTTTGTCCCTATTTTACCCAGCACTGGGTTGTATTTAACTCAGCATTTTTTAGAGTGTACAATTTTACTATCTAAATGGGCATAAATTGAAGGCAATACAGCAAATACTACCATAATGTATAAACACTTAACAGTTTTTCTTTTTTTCTCTTTTAAACTGAAATAACAACTGACTTTTATCAATTCTTCTCAATACCCACGTTACACCCAAAACTGGTCTCCTACATCTGGTGTTTCAAATAAAATAATAATGTCCCAAAATAGAGGCCATTGTTACTAAATAATGTTACTAAAGCATAGGCTGAGCACATGGCAGAGACAGAGACAGAGACAGGAAGCAGAGCCAAGGATACAGGGAGGAAAGCACCAGATTAGCTGAAAGGAAGCTGCTGAGATTGACGAATCAGATCCCATGTTACTCGGCCACATTGTTATAGTTTAGTCATCCGTTGTAGCCACAGGAGGAGGTTGCAAAAGCTTAGTCTGATATTTTGTTTGTAGATAGATCATCAGGACTCCAGCTAGTTTGTGCATGTATTGTCTACCCTCATTCTGTTATCTGTCTTAGCAGGAGGGTGTGTAGACAGGAAATGTCCGGACTCCGGACTGGTAATCATCTGCAAACTTCAAGTAAACGTTTAGAAATTCTGGAAAAAGGGTGGGATGGATGTCGATATCCATCTTTTCTTTCTCACTCTGTTGCAGGACAGTTATGTTACTTTACTCTGGGTTGCAGCCTGTATCAGTGCTGCATAACACTTAAAGCTAACAATCTGAGGTTTGAGCTGAACACAAAATGACTGCTGAGCTCATTTCCCTTGTGTACTTAACATAAGAGGAGGCATTAAAATAACTAAGCAAAAAGCCATTATCCACTACATCTCATCTCTCTAACCATTCTATTTAACAAACATTATATAATGCTTCACGGACAAGTAATTCATATAGGCAATTTGAAACAAATATAGAAACATACATAGAGCATATTATGAAGTTTTACGAGAAACAATAATATATATTGAGTTACAAAAATATAGAGCATGTGGAACACCCCTGTGACAAACTCTTGCCCAATATTTTTCATATGCAAATTAACTTTTTTGCTAAATAAATAAATAAATAAATACATTTAAAAAATGCTTGTCAGAGTGTTGTTATTATAAACACTCTGTTATTATATATATATATATATATATATATATATATATATATATATATATATATATATATACAGAGGGACAAAAAAATATATTTCCCCACTGTATATATATTTGTTTTACTGAAATAAAGCTGATCAATTTTAATTATTAGATGAGAAATGTTAAGGCAACTAAATAAAATATTTTATTTTTATTTTAATAAAATAAATTTAAGTTGAAGTACTAAAATTACTAAAACTGAAATAAAGCTAAATATATATTTTAAAAAAAAACTAATGAAAAGGATAAAAGCACATAACAATTGCCAAATTATTAAATCTAAAATTAACTTTTTAACAGTTTTCAATTCAAAGTATTAATATAATAGTATATAAATAATACAAAAATAATACTGGCTTGCAGCAAAAGTGCCACGAATTAACTGCACATTTGTCTCAAATCGTTTTTTTAAAAATGTTTAAGGCCAAAAGAACTATATGCTTAATTGTAAAATTAGATTAAAAGTATAAAGGTAAAAATAAATTCTGGTCACTAAAAAAAATGTTATATGGTTGATGAAGTCTGGAACGTAATTTAAACTCTTTTTTGAGGCACCCAAAACGTTTGGCAATTACAGTGGAAATGTGGCAGCAGTACTTTGATACTAATTGCGTTATAGTGTATATCTGCTATATGCAGATAACTTAAATTAATTAGTTAATTGCAAGTTGTTCCTTGACTCAATGCATAATATACAATGCATAAATGCATCATTTCCAGGAATCCAAGTAGGATTGGGCGTCTTGTGCTAAAAGCACATTCATTACTTACATTCACAGACACCCGCTTTCAACCGCAAGCTCTGGTACAGGCGTTAAGAAACAGCTCTCGGATGAGAGTCAAATGCAGAAAATGAGGAAGTGAATGTCTGAGCAGCTGAATCTGTAGACATCTGGATAATTTCACCACCAGACAAATATAAACTAAAAAGATCTCAGAGACAGTATGGATATCTGTTTGTTTTACTCAGTGCTAGCTCGTGGTTAATTATTAGGAATTTCAGGCATGCAGAGGCATGTACCTCACCCTGTGATAAATAACATTGTGTGGTTCTGTCATTTGAAAAGAAATAGGTAGAGCAAGAAATACAAATATAGAATACAAAATAACGTACTACTTGGATCATTTTTCCCAGATAATTTCTCAGTATCTACGGAAGAGTCCATACATTATAATTTTTTTCTGTCTTACTCTACCATTCAGAAGTTTGGGGTCAGTAAGATTATTTCTCTTTTTGAAGAAATTAATAATTATAATTTGCAAGAATGCATTAAATTTATTAAAAAAAAATTACTACACTGATTCAATTTTTTTAAGTGCTTTATATTCATCCATTTATATTATTCATCAAAGAATCCTGAAAAAATATATCACAGTCTTCACAAAAATATTTATCAGCACAACTGTTTTCAACATTGATAATAAACAGAAATGTTTCTTGAGCAGCACATTTTTTGCATATTAGAATGATTTCTGAAAAGCTGAAAATTCAGCTTCGTCATCACAGGAATAAATTACATTTTAAAATATATGATTATATAGTTAAAATAGTTATTTTAAATTCTCAATATTACAGTTTTACTATATTTTTAATCAAATAAACGCAGCCCTGGCAAGCATAAGAGATTTCTTTGAAAAACATACAATTTACTGTGATCTCAGCTTAACAAAAAGTTGTTTACGAATGTTTTCTTACCAAACAAATAAGAAACAAGCAAGTCTCATTATCTGAAAGCATCTTGTTATTTTGGCCTATCGGATGTATTTAACACAGTGGGTTTAAACATACTTTCTGCCTTCTCTTACACAGCTGACTTCTTGCCCATGGTGAAGACGCCTTCTGGCCTGGTAGGTGAAGAAGCTGCCAGTCTGCCTGCACCAGGATTAAACAGCCCTCTCAATATGTCAATCAAACATCCACTAATTGAGCTACAGTGAGTACATGTGCTTTTGTTTATTCAATCTGTTCTCACAGAATGGATACTGGTATCAAGGGATATTTCTAAGGTCAAATGAAAAATGGTTCACGCTGGCAATCTGCGTAAGTGCCTTCCAAAAAAGCTGTGTTGTAATTTTTGTATTTCTCTAGAATTATTATTTTAGGGAAGTTAGACTCACAAGCGTATACGCCACTTCCTGGGATTTTATATACGAGAGTGAACAAGTTGTGTTATGAGGGGTTCTCATACTAGACAACATCAGATAAGAGAAAACAGTAATGAGATTTACACGCACACACATATATATATATATATATTATATTTCCCATGAGCTGATTCGCTACAATATAGTCTATCTAATATATGATTAGGAAGTCATATTAGTTTTCACATCTGTCTCAGTGAGAAAATGGGAAGTTGCTTCTATTTCTAAATAAAAACCCATAATGACTAAAACTATTTCGTCATCATCTGCAATGTCAAAAATGATTAAACTGATTACATAACAAACATACAAAGGAGCCTGTTAAAAAAAAAAATTCTTAGGCAAAGCATAGCTAATGCTATTACTCCAAACCAAACCAATCATAAGTTTTAAACTTCAGCACTTGTCTTGCACCAGCTGAGCTATAACAGGATATTACCAACTCCATGCTTTACTGTAGGAATGCTGTTATTTGGACGGTGAGCTGTATATAATAAAAGGCAATACTTATTTTACAAATAAACCAAGAAAAATGGGCTTGTTTGATTCGCTGAATAATGTGGCCATTGTACATATAGTCTATCTAATATATGATTAGGAAGTCATATTAGTTTTCACATCTGTCTCAGTGAGAAAATGGGAAGTTGCTTCTATTTCTAAATAAAACCCATAATGACTAAAACTATTTCGTCATCATCTGCAATGTCAAAAATGATTAAACTGATTACATAACAAACATACAAAGGAGCCTGTTAAAAAAAAAAAATTCTTAGGCAAAGCATAGCTAATGCTATTACTCCAAACCAAACCAATCATAAGTTTTAAACTTCAGCACTTGTCTTGCACCAGCTGAGCTATAACAGGATATTACCACCTCCATGCTTTACTGTAGGAATGCTGTTATTTGGACGGTGAGCTGTATTGGATTTCCGCCAGAAATATAGTTTGGTGTCGAGGCCAAATAATTCAATTTTAGTCTCATCTGCCTCAGAATCTTCAAGGTGTGTTTTGGCAAAGCTCAGTCGTGACTGCATGTGGCCTTTCTTGAGGAGTGGCTTTTTTCTTGCAACCCTCCCATACAAGCCACATTTGTGGAGAATTTGTGATATTTTTGACACATGCACACAATGACCACTCTTCGTCATAAATTCCTACAACTGCTTCAGAGTTGCTGTAGGCCTCTTGATCTTAGTAGCCTCTTTGACCAGTTTCCTCCTGGCTCTTTCATCCAGTTTGGAGCGACATTCTGATCCAGGGAGGGTCTGTGTTGTACCAAATACCTTCCACTTCTCAATAATAGACTTCACTGTGCTTCTAGGTATTGATAAAGCCTTTGAAAACATTTTTGTATCCATCTCCTGACTTGTGCCTGTCCACAACTTTATCCCGGAGATCTTTTGACAGTGCATGCCATCCATAGTTGATTGTTTGCTTCAGTTGCACTACCACGGACTGAAATGCTGCAGGAAAGCTCTTTTCATGCTGAGCTAATCAAAATGACCACAGCTGATCACGGTTGAAAGTCAAATGGCTTTTTGAAGGTATTTAGAAGGTGATTATTTGTGATTGTTTTAAAGGGGGTGATTCTTTTTCTATACCCACTGTAAAGCTTGACATGAAAATAGTCAGATTGTTTTTTAAATATAACAGTTTATTGAAACTTTAGATGAAATCTTAAAAGAAAAAAGCATATAAATATTATATAAGCATATAAATACATATAAATATCAATTGTCAATCTATATCTTCCAATCTTACTAATATTTCTTAAATTATATTTAAGTGCTTAGTTTTTGTGGTCAAAGCTCTGTTGTACAATGCAATTCAGTACAATGATGATTGAGAGATGAACGGTAATAAATGTTCCTCAAAAACCTGAACCATATTTGATATTCACATTTTAGCATTATTCATCTAAAAAGTGATATATGGACAATCAAGTAAACCGAGTTGCTTCATTTGTTCTTATGCTTACTTTTATAAAAATCAATATAGATTTCATAGCAAAAAGACATGTAAACCACGACCTGAAGGGGGTTGTTTTTAGAATTATACTAGAAGACATCAATCAGATGACAGAAAGAATGTAGTAGATTGTTTACAACAGGTTTTGCAGCAAAGTTTGATCGTGTTAAAAATTTAGAGGCCTTAGAAATCAGATATGATCCAGTAGGCTTTACAGGCTTAAGTGATTCGACTTTCACCTGATGGTAAATATGGTCAATAATTAGATGCCCAATTAAACCCTACAGACTTAAATTAGAGGGACCAAGCCATGTCTAGAGACTACAGTCGCCTCTGTTAATTTAAGCCACTAAGCAACCACCCAGAACACCCTAGCAACCATCCACGACACGCTTAGCATCATTTGACAAGTTTTGCATTTGGCCTTTTTCTTCCGAAAATGTAGTTGTTATTGTGAGTCATTTCTTCAGTGGTTTCTCTGTGTTTGATTTACAGGAACACAATGCACAGTTTCCGTAACCGGCACTCACAGGAAATTAGACAAAGTGTTTTCCATTTTGGCGACCCAACTGACACCCAAAAAACATCCTCATCTAAGACATCCAGTAAGAACCACAACTTTGTCACTAGAAAAATAATAAACAATTGTTTCAGATTTAAGTGCTCATGGCCACTGTCCTCCTTAGCTTTATCGGTTCCCACACCCGGTTCTTCTCAAAGCCCAGAATCCCCTGCTAATGCCAGGTCTAAGCATGATCTCGCCACCATTTCACCAATCAGAAAGAATAGCAAAGAAAAGTCCAAACCGCTGGAGCTCAAGGACACATCTCGACTTCAACATGAAAAACTGGCTGAAGAGGTCAAAGCGCAGAAGGTAAAGTGAGGATGTTAATCACCACTTCAGCTTCTCATATACAGTAAAATTAATCAACTGAAACCCGCATATGTATGTGTTGTCAGGAGTTGGTGTCGCTGTTACATAAGGTGCTGGAAGCTGCTCAGCTGGAGAAACGCACCTGTGCTCAGTTTCTAGCCGCGGAGGGGGAGCAGGAGCGCTTGGAGCTCCTCAGACATGGTGAGCGGCGTGCGGCCAAACTGCGAGACCATCTGGAGTCCCGGCAGCAAGAGAACGAGAACCTACGGAGGGATCTGAACCTGAGGGACGCCCATATAGCTGAACTCCAGGAGAGTGTCCAGCTCCTGATACAAAAGAATCAATCCAAACAGGAAGTGATACTGAAGCTGTCTGAGAAGTTAGCAGTCTGTGGAGAAGACAAGCAGTGCTCCAATGGGCTGCGGTCAGAGGCCTTAAAACAGCTAACAATTGAGAATGAGAATTTGAAAGTGAGAAAATAAAGCATTTTTACATCAAAATATTGTTTTACTATATAATATAAATATATATGGATACATTGATCAAAAGTGACAGTAAAAAACATTTACAATGTAAAAATATATTTATATTTTAGATAAAAGCTTTTGAATTTTCTAATCAGCAAAGAATCCTGAAAAAAAAAATGTTTCCACTAAAATATTGATATGGGACAACAGTACAGCTTTTCTACATAATAAACTGAAAATTCAGTTTTGCCATCACAGGAATAAATGACATTTTAAAATATATTAAAAAAGAAAACAGTTATTTTAAATTGTAATAGTAGTTTATATTATTACTGTTTTTACTGAATTTTTTTATCATATGCAGCCTTTGTGAGCATAAGAGATACATACAAAAAACTTACCAACCCCAAACTTCTGAATGGTAGTGGATATAACTTATAATTTAAATGTGCATTATTTCAGGATGATTTGAAGGCATATAAAACTCAGAACCAGTACCTAAACTCTGAAATCTACCATCTAACGACGCTTTGGAGAAAAAGTTCAGAACGGGAGCAAAGTCTGATAGTAAAGGTAAATAATTTTTTTGTTTCTTGCACCAAAAACAGACACATTTTTTGCTACTGTCTTTACCCTTTGTGCTGATTGGCTAATCTAAACATTAAATGGCTCTTTATGAACTGAGAGATTTGAGTTTTGAAAGTTAGAGTATGTTCACTTCCATATCAAAAGATCAAGGGAAATTACATTTTTGTGATATAAACGCTTTCAAATTGGTCCGAGCCATTTGTGATGGTAATCTGAGATAGTAAACATCATGAATGTGGGATTTAGTGTTGTTACTGTGTGTGTGTGTGTGTGTGTGTGTGTGTGTGTGTGTGAAAGTCTGATAGTAAAGGTAAATAATTTTTTTGTTTCTTGCACCAAAAACAGACACATTTTTTGCTACTGTCTTTACCCTTTGTGCTGATTGGCTAATCTAAACATTAAATGGCTCTTTATGAACTGAGAGATTTGAGTTTTGAAAGTTAGAGTATGTTCACTTCCATATCAAAAGATCAAGGGAAATTACATTTTTGTGATATAAATGCTTTCAAATTGGTCCGAGCCATTTGTGATGGTAATCTGAGATAGTAAACATCATGAATGTGGGATTTAGTGTTGTTACTGTGTGTGTGTGTGTGTGTGTGTGCGCGCGCGTTTTTGTGACAAATGAGGACATACATTTGTATAATAACAAAGGTATGACATAGGTATTACAAGGAGAAGGTGACTTTTCAGGACGTGTGTGTGTGTGTGCCAGTGTGCTGTTCTGGAGGCCAATAGCAGTCAGATGGAAAGCAGATACCTGGGAATCCTCCAGAAACTCCAGGAGAGTAAGGAATTGAATCCGGAGCAGAGGGAAGCAGTCAAGAAGGTGGTTAAGGATGCAGTTCGGGCAGACCTGAGCACTGCTATTAAACTAAACTCAGTAAGGTAAACACAGTCCCATCAGTTCACCCCAAATGCAAATTCTGTCATCATTTATTCACCCTGTTCTTTTCATCTGTGGAGCTCTCAAATCACATTCATCCTTGCGCACATTCATCATAGAAGTGTAAATCATTCCAGACTTTATTTTTGGATGGAAATGGATGGCTAAAGTTCATAGCAGACATCCTTGAGATTCATAAAAGAATGTCTTAGTTGCTTAGATAAGTCTCCTGCTAAAAAAAAGCATATAGAGCTTCAGTGAAATAACATTTATTAGAGAGCATAGAGTAAAGGTATTTTCACACCAAGAATAACTATGATGACTACTATATTGACATCCACTCAAATGCACAATATTGTTCTGTTTATTATAAGTATGTGCTGCAGTTTTGTCATCTGCTACTTTAAATTCTGACTGGCTATCAGTGTTTTCATTGCTCATCAGCTGTAAAACATCATTTTAAAAGTTATTCCAACAATATAATTATTCTGCCATTATTGTTGTGGTGTGGACTCTGCTATTCTTCTACATTTAGAACAAATTTTAAAACTATCTTTATCATTATCGTTACAGTTATCATAACGGTTATCATTCTTGGTGTGAATGAGTCTTAAATTATAAAACAGTTTCACATATAAATGTTTGTTCAAGTTCTATTTATGTTGGAACTCACAGTTCCCGACATTCCACAGGGATTACGATGAATATGGATTTAAGATTGCAGTGGACTACAAAATTGAGGACCTGAAGCTGCTTGCTAAGATCCAGGCCCTGGAGATCCGATCCCAAAACCTGCTGAACCAGGAGGAATGCGATGTGCCATTGTTGGCTCGTTGCGCTCAGCTCCTGTTTGGACGCCCTGAAGGAGAACTGTCTTCATCCACAGAATTGAAGAATCTACTCCGGATGGGCTTACCGCGCGAGTACCGTGCAAGGGCTTGGCGTTTTATGATACAGACTAGGACCAAGTCTCTAAAAGAGCGTCATCCTGACCACTATCAGGAGCTGTGCGAGAAGAGCAGAACCTCACCTCACCTGGTGCCCAGACAGATCCAGCTGGACCTGGATCGTACGCTGACCTCCAATCAATACTTTTCCCCTCCTTCAAGCCCCTTGATTCAGAAGCTGGAGAGAGTTCTGCAGGCGTTCTCATGGCAAAACCCCACAATCGGCTACGTCCAGGGACTCAACAGGTAATTAGCCATCATAGACAAAAAAAGAGAGAGAATTGGCTTTGATTAGAAGTGATTATAGAACTAATGTGAGTAGTATTAGTAATGGCCTATCACAAGAGCTTTTTGGCTAAATATGCCACTTTTGTTTTAAAATATAATGGGGTATTGAATGTAACGCATGTTACAAAAAATAAGAAGTGTCACATTTTGCCAGATTTACTTACATGACCACTTTATAAAAATGTCTTTATTTAATACATTTATTTTTAAATATAAAATGTATCAAATGTATTACATAATTAAAGTTTCGATATTATTTAAAATATTATTTAAAATATGAATTTTTAAATAGGTCAGTCAGTCAGTATTTATTATATACTTTATTAAAACTTGCTGTTTATTGTCAGGTTCAAATTTGATTTTCAATCCCAGATTGTTAGTGTGGTCTCAGACTTTTGTACACTACTGTTTTTTTTTTTTGTAAGATGTAAGTCTCTTATTTCTTATAATTTATCATATAATTATATAATATCAAAATGATGATGTCATTTATTTCACTTAAGTAAAATTGAAATCTCATATAATTAAAAATATCATATTTATATTCAGATAATATATTTGTATTAAATGTATCATTTGTCTAAATATTAAATATAAATAAGTTAAATCTATTTAAGTTAAATCTATTAACTAAAGTTAAATCTAAATGTCAATTTTTATATATATAATGCATGAGGTAACAGAAGACAAAATAATTCTTGCTAAATATGGCAAAATAATTTTACATTTAATGACATAATTGAATCCACCCCTTCCTGATTACCAAACTGTAGCAATCATTAAACAGAAATTTCATATTTTACCTTCAGTCTACATGCAAAGTGATATTTGCCTCATCTGACTGCCATGCTGCACACTGGCAACAAACTATTTTAATACCAATTTGAAGCTGACCTTAAATGGACCATAACATGTAATGTACTGACATCTGGTGGTCAGTTGCTGATCAACAACTTTCTGATGGAGGGTACCTTACAGGCTAAATAGAGTGAAGTGTAGGTTTACTGTTATAGCCACAATATCTATATGGAAAAAGAAAGCTAAATAACACCAACGATGCCACTGTGTGCAGACTGGCAGCCATAGCTCTGCTGGTACTACAGGATGAGGAAGATGCCTTCTGGTGCTTGGTAGTGATTGTGGACTATATCATGCCTCACAATTACTACACTAAAGACCTGGTGGGCTGTCAGGTGAGAACTGCATTAATCCTAAATCCTAAAACTTTCTGCTTATTTTCAATCCCAGAGTTTCAGTGTGGTCTCAGACTTTTATACACTACTGTTTTCAAATGTTTGGAAGCAAGTAAAAACAGTAATATTCAGAAATATTTTTCAATATTCTCTTCTTTCAATCTCTCCAGGCCGACCAGTGTGTACTAAAGGACCTCATGTCTGAGAAGCTGCCTCGACTCACGGCCCATCTTGAAGCGCTAAAAGTAGACGTGTCCCTCATCACTGTTGAATGGTTTCTGGTGTTGTTCGTTGAGAGTCTGCCTACACGCATACTGTTTAAAGTATGGGACGCCTTCCTGTATGAAGGCATAAAGGTACCATAAAAGATTCTGGGAAATGTTGTATAGATCAATACCTGGTTCTCTAATAGTTTGAATTTTTTTGGATTCTCCACTAAATATTTGTTTGTAACAGTTTTGTTTGTAATATGACCTCATATTGAGCCTGATCCAGTTGTGTAAAAAAAAAAACTAAATTTCCCAACATTTTCACAAACATTGCAAGCCTACAGGCCAACTATGAGGAAATAACAATGGACCAAATCCCTCATTCATCTGTTTCACAGGTGATATTCCGATATGCATTGGCACTTTTCAAATACAGAGAGGAAGGCATCTTAAAGATCAATGACAGTGTTGAGATGTACCAGTATCTCCGCATCTTCCCCAACACCATCGTAGATGGAAGGTAAGATGAAGGATCAAAAAACCAAGAGAGAAAGTAGAGTAAGAAAAAAAACATTAAATATAGATAAAATATACAGGTGCATCTCAATAAATTAGAATTGTTGGCCTTCTGGAAAGTATGTTCATTTACTGTACATGTACTCAATACTTGGTAGGGGCTCCTTTTGCTTTAATTACTGCCTCAATTCGGCGTGGCATAGAGGTGATCAGTTTGTGGCACTGCTGAGGTGCTGTTAAATAGTATATATTAGTAAATCTAAATGTATACCTATATATACACTGAACAAAATTAGAAACTTAACACTTTTGTTTTTGCCCCCATTTGTCATGAGTACACAAAAAGCCTATTTCTCTCAAATATTGTTCACAAATCTGTCTAAATCTGTGTTAGTGAGCACTTCTCCTTTGCCGAGATAATCCATCCACCCATTCATGCCTTATACTCATGCATATATTATTCATGGTTACTACTTTCAAGCATTATAATGACTTTTAAACAGTCATAAAAGGACGTACAGACACATACATTACCAACACAAAGATTTGACTCTTTAAAGATATCAGCAAGTATTATAATGTATTGTTTATGTTATAAACAAACAATGGACAATGTATTAAGCATCATGAATATCTGTATGACACTGTAATACCTATAGAACACATTTTACACACTTAAAAATAATTATTATTTACAAGCAAATTAGTGAAAAATATAAAATATTGATGCATAATAATTTTTTATTGTAATTTAAATAGTATATATTAGTAAATCTAAATGTATACCTATATATACACTGAACAAAATTAGAAACTTAACACTTTTGTTTTTGCCCCCATTTGTCATGAGCTGAACTCAAAGATCTAAGACTTTTTCTATGTACACAAAAAGCCTATTTCTCTCAAATATTGTTCACAAATCTGTCTAAATCTGTGTTAGTGAGCACTTCTCCTTTGCCGAGATAATCCATCCACCTCACAGGTGTGGGATATCAAGATGCATGATTATTGCACAGGTGTGCCTTAGGCTGGCCACAATCTAAACTCTAAAATGTGCAGTTTTATCACACAGCACAATGTCACAGATGTCGCAAGTTTTGAGGGAGCGTGCAATTGGCATGCTGACTGCAGGAATGTCCACCAGAGCTGTTGCCCGTGAATTGAATGTTAATTTCTCTACCATAAGCCACCTCCAAAGCCGTTTCAGAGAATTTGGCAGCACATCCAACCGGCCTCACAACCGCAGACCGCGTGTAACCACACCAGCCCAGGACCTCCACATCCAGCATCTTCACCTCCAAGATCGTCTGAGACCAGCCACCTGGACAGCTGCTGCAACAATCGGTTTGCATAACCAAAGAATTTCT